TTCGGTATGGAAAGCCGTTTGAGCATTTATTCTGATATCCGTGTTATCAAGCCCGCTCTGCTCTACTAGTTCGTATGGAAAGCCGTTTGAGCATTTATTCTGATATCCGTGTTATCAAGCCCGCTCTGCTCTACTAGTTCGTATGGAAAGCCGTTTGAGCATTTATTCTGATATCCGTGTTATCAAGCCCGCTCTGCTCTACTAGTTCGTATGGAAAGCCGTTTGAGCATTTATTCTGATATCCGTGTTATCAAGCCCGCTCTGCTCTACTAGTTCGTATGGAAAGCCGTTTGAGCATTTATTCTGATATCCGTGATATCAAGCCCGCTCTGCTCTTAGTTTGGACTTTGGCCGTACTGGTAAGATATCCTGGCGCACTAGTACGCGACTAGGTCGTACTAGTACTGCAAAAATGCTTATACTAGTCAAGCGTTTGTTAAGCAACTTGTTAATGTGTCTGCCTGAAATTTGCTGCACTAGTTAACTAGTAAGGCTTAAAACGCTTACTAGTAGCACTAGTAAAGGCCAAAATCTCCACTAGTGACACTAGTAAAGGTCAAAATGTCCACTAATTGCACTAGTGACGGTGTTTTGACCTCACTAGTGTGACTATAGTGGAACTAGTGGATAATTTGGCTCTTACTAGTGGACAATTTGGCTCTTACTAGTGTAACTCTCACTAGTCTCATTAGTGAAGAATTGCCCCTTACTAGTTATACAGTGGTATATACCTCATAACTCGAATTTAATCCGTTCAGAACTCCGGATCGAATCCTAAAAAGTTCGAGTTGTGATCGAATTTTCCCCATAAGAAATAATGGAAAACCAATTAATTGGTTCCCTGCCCCCAAAATGTTACACCTAAATATGTTTTTTTTTTTAGCATTTAAACACAAAATGAACTTGTTAAAACAAGAGCATATGCTGTACTAAACACATCTAAGCACATTTATCAAAACAGTAATTTGTAAAGTAAGAAAATAAATTTATCCAAACAATGTGTAAAGTTAAAAAAAACAATGTGTCCTGCCCCGACGGTCCGCTCCTTCCATGTGCCACGCCCCCTCGTTAACCCCATGTTGAATCCCCGTGTGATCAGCTGTTTGTGGTTGTTGTCATTAGTCCTCTGTATTTAGCCCGCGTTTCAGTTTGTTTCCCCAGTCCGGTCATTGTATTGTCCGTCTGCATGCGTTTTGCCTGCCTTACCAGTAATTAAACCCCGTATTCCCCGATACCCTGAGATCTGCGCCTTTGTCTCCGTTCAGTCCCCGCTTGGCAGGATAATATTATTATAATTAAATGTATTAATGGTTTATTATTAATATTACATTAATTAATAAGAAATCTTTATTTTTAAATGTATTTTATTATATAATAATACTGTTACTGTCTATCATTGTCTAAATGTATTTTTACTGTCTAAATATATGTATTCAGCTAGTGTGAACATGCACGATGCTATCACAGCCAATGCCAGACAGACTGAAGCGTTGCCCTTTGTTTCTGCTGCCGCATGACTCATTTCCCCGCGCATACAATTTATTCTAGGTCGGCATTCACGGTTTGACTTCTGGGATTCAGATCGAGTTCTAGCTAATTTCTTTTTCGAACTGGTTTGTTCGACTTTTAAGAAATTCGAGTTCTAATGAGTTTGAGAACTGAGGTACCACTGTACATGTTTGGAGTGCCACGCCCCCAGCAGGCCATGGAGAATATAGCAAGCTTCATGCATGGTCTAAAAGTAGTAGGCCTAACAGTAAGAGGTAATACAGAGATTATAAATACAGACATGTCTGGCACGACCGAAAGGAAAGATTCAGCCTCATGGCCTAAGATTCAGGAGGAGGATGGTGTGCGGCCTCTGGGGGCTCCCAAGAAGATATGTACGACACGTAGACGGGTACCTATGATGGCACCGTCAGAAGACCTGAGGGCTACCTGGGAGATGCCCAAAGGGGATAAAGTGATCTTACTCTTTGACTTTGATGAGGAGGAACTGCACATCTTCCAGGTCACTGGAGACGGCGCAGACCCCCGATAAACTCACCAGATGCGGGTGGTCTATCGGTAGTGGAATGGGAAAACTTGAAGTCTGTCATCACACCGATGATGAAACAGAGCACCGAACCCGACTATCAGTCGAACATCGCTAGTATGGACATGCAGTATAAAAATGCTACTGTATACTCATCCAAAATGATATCAATAATTGTTTGGAGAGTGGAAGAAATTCTTGTCATTTTTTATTGTGTTGCTGTTCATTTACATTCTAATGTTCAATTATATTTTTTCTTGAGAAAACATGCACTCACTGCCCAGTAAACAGCTTTAATACATCACTTTGTTTGCCAACTATTGCACAATACTGTAGAACACTTTATAGAAGGTATATGTGATATAAAAACAAACCTGCTGTTTGCTATGTTTTACTTAAAAGTTGTTTTTTTGTAAACAGACACAATGATATACACTAATCTGAACACATCCATCATGGTAATAAGTATGGCCAACAATAATCTCATCGATGAACTCAGTTCCTTGTTTTTCTTGTAGCACATAGCAATTGATGGACCAGCTTATCAAGTGAGGGCTGCAGGTTTTAAACCTGACTTGAGTCTTTCCACCGAATCAGAGCACCAACGCTGAAAGGACTCCCATCAGACAGCACATTTGTTCTAATTTACTTCATCTTGAAAATGACATAAAACCTTCTGAAAGAACAACCAAACCATGTTAAAACAAGTGAGCATGCGTAACATTGTTTAAACGACCTGGCTGATCTGTTAGTGCACAGAGGTCTGTGTGCACCGTGTGTGGTATTTGTGGAGCTACATAAATACAGACCGTTCATAGCTGGTCTGCATGTTTGATATATTTAACTTTTACCTTGAGACTGACAAGGGGGCACGAGGCCTGGAAGGGGAGGGGCGGGACGAGGGGGTTGTGGAGGAAATGC